GGGGTGCAAATCTGGCTTAAAATCGGTCTTAAAATCCTCTAGTGTGTGGCCAGCTTAAGTAAATGTGGTTGTCAATCTCAAACACTGACAGTGTGAACTTAACCTTTGATTAAAGATTACAAGGACACATGAATTTAAAAAAAAAGATTTGCACAAATAAGTAGTTTATAATAAATACTGCAATACAAAAAATAAAGGTGCTTAAATAGTTTTCTTCACAGCGATGTCATAGAAGAACTATTTTTGGTTCCACAAAGAACCATTCAGTCAAAGGTTCATTAAAGAACGATCTCTTTCTTACCTTTCACCACAAAGAACCTTTTGTGAAACAGAAAGGTTCTTCAGATGTTAACGGTTCTTTATGGAACGATTTAGACAAAAAGGTTCTTCTATGGCATCGTGAAGCACCTTTATTTTTAAGAGTGTATATTTAAAAAAAAAATAGGAATTGTTCATTCTGATTGCATGGTCAGTTGAGTGTTTTCTGCAGAAAGACTTACTTGGTAGTACATCTCAGGACATATTTCTGAGTGACATGCAGCAAAGCTGCCATTTGAGTTTGTAAGACGGGAACACCAGTCTTTTGCAAGTTGCTCTATGAGGAAAAACATCAGAGAAGATTTGCTTGCTTACTTTGTTTAGCGCAGCAATCTTTTTCTTCTGCTATGTCAAGAATGATCAAATTATCAACTGCAACATGGATATTGTGAGCATGTTAAGCACCTGTTTCTATATTCAAGCTGCAGGGGTTGTCAAATGTGATTTCAAGATCTGGGCAATTTTGTTTCCAAAAGTTGACAAAGGACCTTTCACCACAAAGAACCTTTTGTGAAACAGAAAGGTTCTTCAGATGTTAACGGTTCTTTATGGAACGATTTAGACAAAAAGGTTCTTCTATGGCATCGTGAAGCACCTTTATTTTTAAGAGTGTATATTTAAAAAAAAAATAGGAATTGTTCATTCTGATTGCATGGTCAGTTGAGTGTTTTCTGCAGAAAGACTTACTTGGTAGTACATCTCAGGACATATTTCTGAGTGACATGCAGCAAAGCTGCCATTTGAGTTTGTAAGACGGGAACACCAGTCTTTTGCAAGTTGCTCTATGAGGAAAAACATCAGAGAAGATTTGCTTGCTTACTTTGTTTAGCGCAGCAATCTTTTTCTTCTGCTATGTCAAGAATGATCAAATTATCAACTGCAACATGGATATTGTGAGCATGTTAAGCACCTGTTTCTATATTCAAGCTGCAGGGGTTGTCAAATGTGATTTCAAGATCTGGGCAATTTTGTTTCCAAAAGTTGACAAAGGATGTTGGTGTGCCCTCTATGATGCCCGATGTTGTTTTAAAGTCATCTGATTGGATGTCATTATAGTTCCCACACAGACCTGAGAGAAGCAAGGTAAACAGTGGTTCAATTGATACTCTTAAAATCAAAATTGTATGGATTTGAGTCCATAACAATTAGCTTTGAGGCATCTATATGCTACAAATAAAAAAAAAAATATTCCAAACATTTAAAATCTGCAGTCTTTCTTTTCCAAAATGATTTTTTTTATAAACTCACCACTCATCTTCCCTTTCTCTTCAGTGCTGGCTACAATATACAACTGCATGACAGGAGCCAACTGGATCTCTAGACGAAGGCTCTTCATATCAGCAATGATGAAAGAGGAAGTGGGCTGGAAGATGCTCACAGGACCTGGGACAATAAAATGATTGAAAAAGGAAATTACTGATTTTTTTATTATTATTTTTTTAATAATGATGAAAAAGTAAGTTTCTTATATTTGACAACAAACCTGTGGTGAAAGGAAGCATGTATGAACTGATTCCATTCACTGTCACAGATCCACCAGAGGAAAAACTAATCTGTTTAACGAGTAAAACATCAACAAAAAGACATTACTATTAATATGATTCTCATAGTAGTAGTAGTAGTAGTAGCCAGTATAAGCATTATTGTTAGTAAGAATGATTAAAGAATAAAATTATTCAAACCCAATGCTTACAGTGGTCCCTGGAATGACAAGGGTAACTGAATTTAGACAAGTGTCTGCTCTGGCCGGATCACAATTTGCCAGATTTCCCACAACCGCAATGTCACTGTCATTAAAGTGCTTTAATTAAATCAAAGAAAGAAAAAAGGATTGTAAGAACCTTTATAATACCCACAGTTTTCTAATTGTAATATAAACCATGTGAATAAACATATAAGTGAAGGCTTTCATTTATCTCGCCCTGACAGAAAACATCTAAGGATCATCTGCTGTACTGACAGACCTTAGTAAGGATGTAGTCACAGTTGCCACTGAAGGTGAAGGTTTTTCCATCATAAGTGGTGATGTGAGACCCTCCAACAACAGAGCAGATTCCGGGACATTCCAGGTATGTACAAGTCCAGTGTCCAGCGGCGCACACACTGACACGATACGGCAGCAGTGTTAGCATTGGGGAAATATGTAAGTGGTATTAAATGTGAATTTAAAATATTTAAATTAAAAAATTGTTACCATTTTTTGCAAGCTTGTTTGTAAGACTCTCCTGATTGATATACTGCGCCGTCATGCAGACAAGGGCACTCGTTCACAGGAACGCAGCCACTCAGACCAATGTCGTCTTCCACGGTGCCTTTACAAAAAGAAGGCATGATACCATTTAATTTGGAAAAAAAAATGGCTTTAATTGAACAGATTTAAATATGCAAGCACTTGACTTTGGATATTGTGTAAAAATTACCATTAGGGCAAAAACAGCCATCCAGACAGTGTTCTTTACACATTAGATTTGCATCTGGATCTGAGCAGGTGTTCTTGCACGGACTCCCACACTCCATGTATTGCAAGTTCAAAGGACACGTCTTTGCTGCTCCACAGAACAAGACATTGCATGCCACAAATGTATCAATAATGTTGCATTGTATTTTCTTCACAGTGGTCCTTTTAAAATAGTAAGTGATTGTTGTTTGTATAAATTTTTTAATACAACATGTTTTCAAAGTCTTTATTTACTGTATTCATTTAGGTTATGGGTGAATTATTTGGGTAACTTTGTAGTATTTATTTGCCGCCTTCGGACCTTGACACTATGAACTTCGCATGGCAACAGCTGCGTAGTGATTCTTCAAAAACTGTAGAATCGTACAGCATATTGCAACGTCATGGGGGTTAGAAAAAGTTAGTTCATTTTTTCTTGCCATCATTACTGATACTCACGACAGAGCTGTTCTGTCCTCCATGTTCCTGGTATTCCTCCAGCATGAGTGCACTGTCGTGAAATCTCTGTGAGCGTGTTGCAGAGACAGTCGTGATTGCCGTAACACTGACACAGGTCGTCTACACAGGCTTTTTCAAAAGAACTCATGTCCATCACCCTGTAACAGTCAGCAAACCCTGGACTACTGAGATACTGCTGGCAAATACTTGTCTAGGGTGGAAAAAAATAGATCATTTAAGAGGATTGTCTCATTGGAACCAATATTTCAATCTGTAAACAAGATTAAGCAATTTAATTTAAAATTTCCCATTGTTTTATTTCAAGAGTGCACCCAAAATTAGATTTTGTCTCATACTCTACCTGGTCACACTGATCAATGGGAGGAAGTGTAACGTCCTCACAGGTTTCAGTTGGTGTTGAAACTTTCCATGTGGCTGGACCTAAGAAGGGTTCAGATAAACATATTACACTAAACCATAGTGTTTAAAATAAGTATGTGTCGACAAGTCACTCAACTTGCTGTATTTAAATTTTTATATGAATATCTAATCATTAATGAGTTAAAAACACATGTTTACCGCTAACAGTGATATCGTCATGCTTGTTGCCATTAAAGTCTCCACAGAGTCCACAGGTCAGACCTTTGTATTTCTCAGGAAGTTCAATCTGGGGAACATCATATAACAAAATAAGGTCAGAGGAGAGACTAACATGATTTTAAATCACTTTTTTCTATCTATCTATCTATCTATCTATCTGTCTGTCTGTCTGTCTGTCTGTCTGTTTGTCTGTCTATCTGTCTGTCTGTCTGTCTGTCTGTCTGTCTATCTATCTATCTATCTGTCTATCTATCTATCTGTCTATCTATCTATCTATCTATCTGTCTGTCTGTCTGTCTGTCTGTCTATCTATCTGTCTGTCTGTCTGTCTGTCTAACTGTTTGTTTATTTGACTAAAAACAATATTAACAAAGAATAAAAAAAAAAAAATGAAAAGACTAATTTGCAAAACCTGTTGGTTCACTGTTGCTTATTTAGGCATATTGCATGTTTGTCTTGTGATGTGCAGCACTGATCAGAAGTCTGAGATCAAGCTCAAAGATAAAATAATGTGTGCGTAAGTAATGAGATAAGTATAAGTATCGTATAAGTAATGAGATAATATCGAATCATACTGTTAGAGAGTTGTCTTCTTCCCAGAAGACAGTCACTCCATGTTTGTTCGAGATCTTGACACTTGTTGGACTTCCCTCAATTTTAATTCCATTCTTATAGGTCGGAACAGACACCCTGTTGGAGCAATTTAAAAAAAAAAGTCAACATTAATAAAAAAAAAGAAAGAAAAGAAAACATTTTTTTGTCTTGTTTTTCAGTAAAACATATTTTATTAAACTAAAATAAATTTGGTTGAAAACATTGTGTAAGATTCTAATATTGAACTAGGCTTATTTTTGTAACTCCACTGTTTGAATATTTGATTTGTTTAAAAGCATAAACTTGCGAAAAATTAGATTTATGCTAAAATAAAATAAAAACTAATATCTTGCACTTTTCTTTTCAAATTCATCTTCTAAAGATATATTTAATATATAACAAAATAAAACTTACACACTTCATCTTTAAATCCACTGAAGTGTAAAATTTTAGTTTCAACATAAAAAAAATGAAGACTTAAACATTAAAAAAGAAGAAAAAGAGGAAGAAGAAACTCCATACCCATAGTTACTGGCACATTTGTCCTGGAGAACGCTGAGAACAGAAAAAGATGGACCTATAGTTATTTTTGCCACATAAATTAAAATTGAAACAAAGTTGGCTACATGTTTACAGATAGCTTACAATAATTCTACAATACTCTTTGTAAATCTAATTAAAAAAAAAAAAATCTTTGTTACATTGTAATGATTTGGCTGTTTGAATAATTAACCGATCAAAACCTGAACATATGCCCTGAATTTAATGTTCCATTTTGAAATATATAAAACAGTAGTTTTACGTGACATCTGTTAATAAATTGGTTACTTTATGAGATCTACTATTCACATTGATTCACAAAGAAACTATAAAGTATAATCCATAAACACAACTTATTCACCTGTTGTTGTTGTTGTTGGCCACATTTCATCCATTACTGCAAAATCATTCATGAAGTCTATAAACATAGAAAGACAGATATAGTCATATTGTGTAGCTGATACTGTGTGTTTCTTGCAATAATTGATCATTTTGATTTTCCTAACCTGCTTGTATCAGCTGTAGCCCCACCAGTAGGGTGACCCATCTCAGCATCCACATCTGGGACATCCTCACAGCCCCCATGGAAGCAACAACCATCCTCAAGAGCTAATGTGGGCTATCTGTCATGACTTGCTCTTTTATACTAGGTCTTAGTTTGCTTTGGGACCATCTATTCTGTGGTCAGAAGGTGGATCCCAGGCTTAGGCATTATTGATATTTTTCCATTTAGTCTAGCTGTGTTTGAAGATTAAACATTTTCTGTCACTCACAACATAGTGTTTATCTCTGTTATCATCTCAAGGTAAACAAGGATGTGATGGTTGATTTTATCCTAACTTGGAGGTTCATCCAATTTGTAGAGAAATTACACGACACACTGTAAAATCCACACCCTAAATGTCTACCTTGATGATCAGGTTTTTTTTTTTTTTTTGCATTTCCATTTAAAGCTTTTGAGAGACCTTGTGCTTAACTTATAATGTTATCTTTTTTTAAGAGATACTTTGATGGAAAACATTTACTTACACTGCACCAACAAGCGACCTATTCTAATATTTATGTCTATATCTAATATGTATTTATTATCACCAAGTGGCTTCAATGTCTTATCAACTTTATTGCTTCAAAAATAATACACACTTTTCTGTGCTACTTAACCTGTAAAACTAACCAGCAAGAATGTTATTATTAATAGTCATATTTCCAGATCATTAGTCATCAGTTCTTCTGTAAACACAGAAGGTGTTTTGAGGACCGCAGACACAGAGGTGCAGCTAGAGTTGCTGTTGAAAAGCAGCTTTCTATAAGAGATTTTTCTCATGTCTGTGTGTCAAGTATTCACTGAGTTTTGGTTCATTTTTGTTATGCGTTTCAGAAAGAAATTCACAGAGACCGAGACGGCAGAAAGAACACCTTGTATGTTTTCTTTATGTTACAAAAGCACATAATTTTGTTGTTATTATGAGTGTATACAAATAAAATTAGACCCTTTACGATTTTATGATTCAAATTATGTATTGATTTTATCTGTATGATCAAAAATGACTTTTAATAAATGAGTAATTTAAGTTCTTTTCAGTGTTATCAGGAAAAAATGTCACAAAATGCACTGGTGCGTTGATGTGTAGTTTGTGTAGTGGGAAGTTAAAAATGTATTTATTTATTTTTTACAAACACCCTGCTTTTAGATCCACAAGATGTTAATTGATGGACTGGAGTCATATGGATTACTTGTGGATTATTGTGATGTTTTTATCAGCTGTTTGGACTCTCATTCTGACGGCACCCATTCACTGCAGAGCATCCATTCGTGATCCAGTCAATGGTCAATTTTTCCAGATGTTTCATATGAAGAAACAAACACATCTACATCTTGAATGGCCTGAGGGTGAGTAAATGTTTAAATATTTCTGTCATCACAAGCATTGTGTGCTTATTGAAAGTGACGTCACATGTGGCCATTACCCATACTAGGAATTAGTGCTCTGCATTTAATCCATCCTTAGTGCACACACACACAGCAGTGAACACACACCCGGAGCAGTGGGCAGCCATTTTATGCTGCGGCGCCCGGGGAGCAGTTGGGGGTTCAGTGCCTTGCTCAAGGGCACCTCAGTCGTGGTATTGAAGGTGGAAGAGAGTGCTGTACATTCACTCCCCCCCACCTACAATCCCTGCCGGACCTGAGACTCGAACTCGCAACCTTTGGGTTACGAGTCCGACTCTCTAACCATTAGGCCACGACTTCCCCGTAATTATTGGTTACATGGCTGCCAAAAAAAGGGTGCTATTATTTTCTTTCTTTCTTTTTTTTTTTAATATAATGTACATTTATAATAATTTGTGTTTTATAACTTTGGCATTAAATGACAGAAAACTGGTTAACGCTGATGTGTGTTGAGTGACTGACGACAAATTTGACACCTTTCTCTCTTCTTACCTGTAATAAATCTCTCAATATTTTATTCCCCTTTTGGAAAGTCATATAAATGCTATCGTAGGAAAGTTTGAACAGGAACTTTTTTCGGCTCTTTGTGTTGTTGTTATCATTGATGTGAAAATTTGATGTGGTGCACAAATCGCTGACTTTGATCACTTCAAAATTTAATCTAGGCAACAATACAAGCCACCAATACAAAAACTTTTATAAGCTAACCCAAACATTTATAGAACCATCATTTGATCCAGTAGCACAGCAGAGGCGTGTATACTATAAACCTGTCTCGGTCTGTTTGACATGCTTGAAACCTAATTCTCTGAAACCTGTCACAATTGATTGAGGATATAATCTTTGCTTGTCTTTGCCTCCAGTTGAGACCTTTGAATATTTAAACATTTCCTTTCCATTACTTTGTTGATTCTCTTTCAGCGTGCTATTTATATTTAAAGTGATGTAAGGGGATTCAATTCTGAGACTCTCTGAATGCATATAACAATTTACCTTTGCCTATTTTAAATTACATTTAAAAAATTGTGTAGGCCTACCTATAGGTTCAAGCAGAAGGCAAAGATTTTTTATTTAAAAGCTACAAAGTAGACAAAAGTGGCATGCATTTATGGCACAAAACCTCACAAAGATTATGAAAGTGTCAATAGTGACTCATAAAAATGTTTTCTGCCTTCTGAGAAGGTACAGTACTTCCTTCAGGAAATGCAAATCTAAAAAATAAGTTATTATTATTCAATCAATTATAAAGAAAGATGTTTAAACTCTCAAATGTTTGATTTGTTTGCTGTCGCTTCCAGAAAATCCCGAATGAGTTTCATAATGTCAAACAGGTTGAGATGAATTGTCACATACAACAGTTGTGTTTGTATATGTATGTGTGTGTGTGTGTGTGTGTGTGTGTGTGTGTGTGTACTTGATTATGCTGCATTGTGAGGACCAAATGTCCCCACAAGGATAGTAAAACCTGAAATTTTTGACATTGTGGGGACTGGCCTGCGGTCCCCACGAGGGAAAAATTATTTAAAATAGTAAATGATGTTTATCTGAAAGTATAACAATGCAAACAGGTTTTCTGTAAGGGGTAGGTTTAGGGTTAGGGGATAAAAAATATTGTTTGGTCAGTATAAAAGTAATAGAAGTCTATGAAAGTCCCCACAATTCACAGAAACAAACGTGTGTGTGTGTGTGTGTGTGTGTGGATTACACATATATTCAACTTGAGGATGAATAAATGAATTAATTGTCATTGTTTGGGTAAAATGACTCATCTTGCCAATCCAAAACTCATACCACCAAATGACACATTTAGAGTGTAAATTCTGGCTTAGTGCGTCATGCTGTAGTGTGTATCTTCTCGTCACAGTTTTGTCAGAACTCACATCCTTGTTTGGTTTGAGATGATATCTGCAATGAATGTGCGTAACTGAAAGTTTTTTCCCCATTAGGATTTCTATTAATCCTGTTTTTCCTCAAACATCCCTAGAACAATTATGTTGATTTGACTGAAAGATAGTAATAGCACGCTTAAGCCTGGTTTCCACCTTCTGATCAGACTGCATTGCCTCAAAGACACTATAAAAGAGCAAGTGCTCAGACTGCTTGTGAGATCTATTATTATCTGTGGATAGCTCAAGCTTCTGAGGATGGATGTTGTCTCCATGATGAAAACGTGACCTCGGACAAAGTGAGTCTTCTTCAAGCAGTAGAAGGAGCCTGAGCCTCCAGAGATTCTGATGGTATGAATTCAGCATTTACACTTACAAGCTTGAGAAATGTGATATGGATGAAAATCTCTGGCTGGAGATTTTGAAGTGAGAGTCTTGTTAAATTTATGTAAATCTACATACATCAATAGAGAACCAAAGCGTCAACGTTTTTGTTATTATATGTACTTTTAATAAATGTTACCTGAAAAAGCAATTATTTTGAAATAATGTACCTAATTACACGGCTCTTGGACATGACAATTGAATTTGTTTTTTGAACATTTTTCTGTAATAATCTAAACTAAGACCATGCGTGGATAATTGTTTCAAGAGAATTGTGTCAACAGAATGTGCAAAAATGACTGAGGAAAACTGTACCTTTCATTAGGTCGATGACAGTGACTTCTTATGGTAAGATGTATGTACTGCAGAGGATGACGTTACTGACGCTGGAGATTACGTTTATGTATGCTATTCTAAATAGTTTAAAATGATAAATTAAGATACCAATAAAAAAAATATCTTGCGTAAAATATGCAGTCAGAATGACTTTCTCCACACAGTTTATACACCAATGCTTTGTAGTATCAATCATGCCCGCCGTTGCCAGATAGGAGGTCACCGAGGGCCGGACCTCGGTAAATTTTTCATGTTCAGAAATAAAATTTGTTCTCTGAATGACGAATTTGCTATTTAGAACTCCTCATATGAGTGTATGCATGTTTAGACAGTTTGCAAGAATGTTTAGCGTCCGTGGTAAGAAAATGATTGTTGCCAGACGCTTGCAGAGTGAACAAGGCTTGAGAGAGTTGTGAGTGAGGGACTGTCTTTTCCACTGTTGACACTTTAGAAATTGAACAAAGTGGGAAGTTGTAGTTTAGGTTTAGCGATATATTTATCTTATTTTCAAAATATTTGATCTATATATATATTAAGGTTTTTATTTGTTTTCATAGCAATATCTGGCAACACTGATCGCCGGTGTTGTGCCGAATTCTGCACCCCTGCCAGATTATGCACCCCCTCATTGAAGTCGCTACCTGATTGCCTAATCCCAACCCCACCCCTAATCCTAACCCCTCCCCCACACCTACTCCTAAACCTACCAATACTAGGGGATGCATAATCTGGAAGGGTGCAAATTTCGCCACTACACTGCCACTTAAACTGACAGTAATCTATGAAACCCAAGGACAGGTTATTGCTGACAGGATACCACATTCGGTATGGCAAACGAATGATAATAAAATAAAATAAAAAAAAATTCATATCTTTTAGAAACGTTATCAAAAACAGTAGCATTTAGCAATAGTAGGCTACACAGATCTGTAGGTTGGAGAATGAAATGAAATGTGCATGAAAAAGTCTATGCTATTTCTTTCAGTATAGTAGTTACATTTTTTTACAAAGTCATGCTAAAAGCATTCATAAGAGCACTAGACAAAGTTATCTATATAGCAATGGTTATTACTCAAAATTATAACAGTAAAATGTATTGTTGCATGAATAATAAACAACTGATAAAATTATCCACCCCAACCTATAGTAAAATATAAACAAATTTTGATGCAATAAATATGGTATAATTTAACCCTCCTATGGTATGTTTATCCCTCCAAAACAGAGAAAACACCTTTCACAAACATCTACATGTCTGTCTCTTTTAAAGTGTTCAGTGTATATAATGAGTTGTATTTGTTGGGGTTATTACAGCACAATTCTTAACCCCATCCCAGACCTCACTAATTTTCAAACCCTGGCTACGGCCATGCTATCAGTGTATGAAGGGAATCCAGGAGACTGTAACTGATGCTCTTTAATATGCTTTATTGCGATTTTAATTAATTTCATTGAAAGGAAAAATAGCCTACATCACTATATCATGCATTACTAAAAAGTATAAAGATTTTTTTTAACAGCCCCTTCAAGAAATAACTGCATTGATTATTGTAACTATAACCCTTAATCAATCCATGCTGCAAGATCTGTCAAAAAAAAAAAAGTAATGCTCTACAACAATCAGCTTAAAT